GCCAAAAATGTTTTCTTTCCAATATAATTGGGGAAAAGGGAGAAAGATCATAAAGATTATTGTCTAGATAAACAGTATGGCTATTTCCAGAAAAAGTGCTTATTATCAATGAGAAACCCAGGAAGGTCATGGAACACTTTGTACTCTGAGTCAAATCCGTCAAAAACGCCAACAAGTAACCAACCTACAAGAATTTATTATGTGGGTGCCATGTGCCCAGTATTGCAGGCACCACCGGCAGGCAGATTGTAAGGCGTGTGTTCTCTGAGCCTGAATATACAGTGGACCTGGAGGCTCGAGATTAACAAGCACTAGACAGGTCAATACGAGATGCTAAATATTTGAGTCCTGATAAAAGTCACAAACTGTCACATTTGTACAGCCTACTATAGTCTGCGGAAACTTTCACAGGTAACCTCATTTCACTCCTAGTAACAGTGCCATAGGCCATGGGCAGGGTGGTGGTTGGAAGCCAATGTTGCAAAGGAATAAGGAAATAGGGCAAAGTGAGCCACTTGACTTTAGCCATGGCAAGGGGTCTTCTGACTCCAAAGCCATCATCATCTGTCTGTCTCACAAGGAAGGTGGTGGATGTGGAGGGTCCTCGGAGCTGGCAGTTTGAATTTCATCCTGAAGCTGGCTTTCAGTCACTGCTCTTGGCTAGTCAGGAGGAGCAGGGGAGGAGAAAGTATTTGTCGCTCTTGTTTCATTTTTGCATTTAGGAGTCTGGTATGTGAAACGTGGAGAGAAATTTCAATTATGGTGAATTCAGTAACACTGTTTAGAACATGCAGTCAAATGTAGAACCTGATTTAGAAGAAGCTCCATCCGTGTCCTCCTTTATCATTTTTCTTTCCTCTTTATCATTTTGTGGGCAAGGGGCTCTTGCTCTCTTTGGAATTCTGCAGAGCCTGGCACCATGGTTTGCTTGGAGTAGACACCCTTTAAAATTATCCGTAATTGCCCAAGTGTTGAATGATAAAGGTCTAACATCTGCTTTTAGCTAATAATGTTACAGATAAGCAGTTAATGTTGACAGCAGCTGGCTTCAGTGTGCTTGTTGAGGTCCCCCGTGAATGCAAGCCTCCTGCTCATCATCCTGAGCAGATCAGCTGAGCTCAACTAAGCAGCTAGCAGATGCTTACCAATGTTGACTTAATGAGTAACTTATGTGGTCATATATATAAATGTATATTTATATATATATAAATCTCCTATACATATACAAATATGTACAAGCATTCATTCTATAAGGACTGGAGTACTTACCCGGGGGTACATACTGTTAGGTGCTGGGGTACTGTGGTGAAGGAAACAGGCACGGAGGAGTAGGTGGTGGATGAGGAGACAGACATTAAACAAAGAAATGCAAACATTAGGTAGTGCCAGGTGCTCTAAAGAACTTCCTGGGGGCAGAGGAACAAGGGTGGGGAGGGCACTCATTTAGGTGCAGGAGATGGGAAGATCTGAGGAAGGCCCTTTTCAATGTGAGGGAGGCACAGGAGTTTATCAAGTGAAAAGTGGGAGGAAGAGAATCCCAGGCTGTGGATGGAGTGTGAGGATTTGAAGGCAAGGATGCACACTGAGCCTCGGAGGGACTTCCAGAGAGCTGGGTGGGGCTGGAGGTGGGGGTCATGGCTGGGAGGAGGCTGGCAAGGAGGGAAAGGGCAGATCATGCTGCACACCCCTCCCCCCTTATTTATTTATTTATTTATTTATTTATTTATTTATTTATTTATTTATTTATTTATTTATTTATGAGAGACACACAGAGATAGGCAGAGGGAGAAGCAGGCTCCATGCAGGGAGCCCGATGTGGGGGGCTCGATCCCAGGACCCTGGGATCGCAACCTGAGCCGAAGGCAAACACTCAACCACCAAGCCGCCCACGTGCTCCCTTGCTGTACACTTTATGTCAGCTTAGAGACCTTTGGGTGTATCCTGGGGGCTGCAGGAAGGATCTCTTGGATTTGTAGGAGGGGAGTGTCAGGAGCCAATTTACATTTCTGCAAGATAGTCCATGAAGACAGTGAAGAATAGATCAGAGAGGCTCAGGCATGGCAGTTGGGAGCCTCCTTAACTGGAACTTTGGAGAGTTGGGACCAGATTGGACTGACTGGGAACGAATAGGAGCTGAGAAAGTAGAGGCCACAATTGTACAGGTTGGCTCTGGAAGGGATCAGAGAGGCAGAGTGGGTGCCAGACAGGGCGTATGGATATGCCCATCTATGTGCAAGCAGCCCTGGCTGAGGTTAGGGAGCTGAGTCCAGCTCCTCAATGAGTCAACACATCCCCTTCTCTGTGCTTGGGGTAATATCTAGCACTTCTAGAAGATAAGACATTTGAATTCTAGCTCTGGTTTTGTCTCTAATTGCTGGAGAAATTTGAGCTTATCTCATAATCATCTTTGTTTTTGTTCTTATTTTCCTCACAGCCTGTTGATTTTATCATTAAAAAAAGTAGGTAATCTGTCTATGAATATTTTTCTTCAATAGTGTCATTCATATGTGTTAATTCGGATCATTTTTATAAATTGAATTAGGAGAACTATGAGTGGGTATGTGGAACATTTGTGGTGAGTTTCTAAGCATTTGTTCTTTGATGATTATCAATAAGCTGCTTTTGAATTGCCTTAAATGGAGAGACAGCAGCAGCGATAAGCCTGGTGGTGAGGAGAGGCTGAGCTCCGCTGAGTTCTGTGGGGGTGAGGCCTGGTGGAGAGCTCTAGGCATGGCTAAGTGTCTCAGTGGAATCCTTCCTTACCGACTCTTCCTCATCACGTAAGACTCTTCCTCTTTATCCATGGATATCTCATAAAAGAATGCAAGAGAGGTACCTCTGGTCTGTCCTTTGGGGACACACGTTTGGGAGAATGTGACAGCCTAAAGATCCATAATGAATATGACACATAGCCTAATGGGGCCTTGGAAAAGTGATCCCTTTGTAGCTGTGTGGAATGAGGACATAGGTAGGACCATGAACTGGAAGTTACCCCAAAGATCAGTTTTCAGACTTCCTCCTCGCAAATAATTATTGTGGTGAGATAAAAGAATGACAGCAGACTAAAATTTGAGGCTTGAAGATGCCCACATTTTTTTAAACTTTCATTCTTTTACGGACTGGGTGTGATTTTCTTAAACTCTGACTGACATGCCAAGGTGAACCTCAAAGCATTTCCTAGGGTTTACTTAAGGTAAAGAATTTCATTGGCCAGAGTGGTAGGTGAACTTGGCAGCCAGACTGTGGTTGGTTGGTTTGGATTGAGAGGAGGTGCCTGGGTTCTGACAAAAAGTGAGGTCAGCACTCTTACCTTTGAGGTCAATAAATTATACCTTCTGGGCAGGGTTTTCTTGTGGGTTTTTAAGATCTCAGTTTTCTAAGAGTGGAACCTTCATGAGGCTGCTTACATCAAACCTCCTCCTCCCCTCCTCTTCTTGGTGATAAGACATCATCTGGCCATGATTTAGCTCCAAGGATGTTTCAGGGTTCAACCTTTTTCTCCTCCAGGCTAAAGGTATAAATGAAAAGTGTCATTGTACTTTTGTAGTGTCCTTTTGTCTATCCATCTATCTATCTTCTTTTTAAAAATTATTTATTTATTTTAAAGAGATTGAGAGAGAGAGAGAGAGAGAATGAGAATGAACAGAGGAAGGGACAGAAGGAGAGAGAATCTCAAGCAGAGTCCCTGCTGAGCGTGGAGACAAGCTTGGGGCTCCATCTCAAGACCCCGAGATCATGACCTGAGCTGGAATTGAGGGTTGGACACTCAACCGTCTGAGCCACCCAGGTGCTCATCTTTGTCAAAGAGTAAAAAGGTATCAGTATCCTTATATCTTATGATCTCCTTAAACCACAAATGCACAGGGTAAGCTCTCTGGATATGCAAAACTAGGAATCTCGTGAAAGTTCATATGATGCCTGAGAACTTCACCTTTTATGTAGTTTCTTCAGACTTCCTGACCTAATTAGAAAGCAGAGGACAGTGTGGTACATCTTTGTGGTGATGTGCACTGAGTTCTCTCCCAGCCACCTCCCCCACCCCCGCACGACTTAAAATGCGGACACTGCAGTGCATTTTGCCTTCTCATCTAGTGTCCCTTACGTGAGGCTTTGAAGCAAAGAGTACAAGATACAGTTGTGTAATGTGGCCCTAAACTCTAATGGGTTTGCTTTTAGCTGTTTTTGACCAGTCACTCCTGTCATCCACATCATTTAAAAGCACCCAAGCAAGCCCTGTTTTTTCAGATGCTTTTTAAAAAAAAAATTTTTTTTTTTTTGCAAGCCCTGTTTTACAACCCTTCATTCCTAAGTTAGTGTCAGGAACTCAGAAATAAATCCTACTTTAACGTTATTAGGCACTGGGGTTAGGTTTCAGAATGCTCGCAAATGCAGAGGTAAGTCAGAAGGAGTAGGAAACCAGATGGTTCTTAGTGGAACGCCACGATTGTGTGGTGTAGAAGAGAGGTGCAGTTCCTTCTGCTGAAAGCAGGGCTCTACTCCACACACCATGCACACAGATGCACACCCTACAGGGGAAAGAGTGCTCGCTGCTGGGGTTTGCTCCGTGGATTGCACAGAAGTAGACAAGCCATAGAAGTACCAATTAGAAATGGAGTTTCTGTTTGACAAGATGCAAACAGAAGGTAAGAAGGATGGTACTGATGGTTGCATATTAGGAAAGCATTTAATACCGCTGGACAGTACCCTTAAAATAGGTAAGATGGTAAATCTTATGTCATGTGTATTTTTATCACAATTAATAAGTTGGAAAAGAGAAATTGAGATTCCTTTGTTTTGGTCTCAGATTCTTTACATGCTTAGGGATTATTGAGAACCCCCTGAAAGCTCCTGTTATTGTGGGTTATATCTATCCACATTTTTTTCGGATACCATTAGTTTATTAAAAAAGAGAGACAGAAATTATGTACATGGTGAAAGATTTCATAACTTCAATTGTGAAAGGGCAGCTTCAGGTGATACCATTACAATAATAATGTGTTTCAGTCTACATACTTTCTGAGAACGTCGCAATCTCTAAATAAGAAGTAATCCTTGTCATCTAGAACTACTTTGGTACCTCCATATTCTGGGAGAAGAATTTTATTTCCAACTTTCATGCTAACTGGTTGAATCTCTCCACACTTTCCTTTAGAGCCCAAACCAATAGCTACTACTGTTGCTTGTAATATTTTTCCTTGAGATTTTTCTAGAAGCATAATGTCTCCTTTGGTTACAGTTTTGGCTATACTCCTTTCAACTAAAACTTGGTCAAAGAGGGGAAGGGGGCGCCTGGGTGGCTCAGTTGGTTAAGTATCTGCCTTTGGCTCCGGTCATGCTGCCAGGGTTCTGGGATCAAGCCCTGTGGTGGGCTCTTTGTTTAGGGAGGAGCCTGCTTTTCCCTCTCTGCACCCCTCAACCCTGCCATGTTCTCTCTCTCTCAAATAAATGGATAAAATCTTAAAAAAAAGCGGGAAAGAAACTTTCTAAATGCCTGTCCTGCTATGACTCTGGCTGCTACAGTGTATACTCTCATCTATCAATTATATATTAGAAATTAAAATTAGTCACATTTTAGGGTGCCTGGCTGGCTCACTTGGGTAGAGCATGCAACTCTTGATCTTGGGGTTGTAAATTGTAATATTCACCATGTTGGGTGTAAAGATTACTTAAAAAAATCTTAAAATAGGCAAATTTTGAAGTATTACTAATTCATTTAAAATAACAATAACCAGGCAGCCCAGGTGGCTCAGCCCTGTAGTGCTGCCGTCAGCCTGGGGCCTGATCCTGGAGCCTGATCCTGGAGCCCTGGGATGGAATCCCAGGTCGGGCTCCCTGCATGGAGCCTGCTTCTCCCTCTGCCTGTGTCTCTGCCTCTCTCTCTCTCTCTCTCTCTCTCTCTGTGTGTGTCTCTCATGAATAAATAAATAAAATCTTAAAAAAAATAACAATAACCTCATTACATGTTAACATAAATGGCATATTTTTATGAAATATATCTTTTTTCAAAACAAGAACAATGCAAGAGTGGCATTGTTTTACATTTTTACAAATGTATTTATCCTCTGGTTTAATGGAAAGCAGTGGGATTCTTGGACTTGCTTCTATGTTTAGTCTATAATCCCACAAATCATATACTTGTTGGAAACCTCTATGGGACACTTGTGAGAGAATGAATGAAAGTAAACAGGAAAATCACATCTTAGTTGATTATGAAAGCAGTTTTGATCTTATGGACTCTTTAAAGGGTCTTAGGAATCCCAGGGTTCTCCTGACCACATTTTGAGAACTGATAAAGAATAAATCTGCAGCCAAATTAATTTTTTGTTATGTTCTACAGTTTTTAGCTCTTTTCATCAGATATTATCCAAACTTGAACTTTAGCAATTCAATGTGTTGCTTATCTGTGATTTCAAATGCAAGACCTAGGTGGCTCCTGAAAATAAAGTAAAAGTACCATAATTCTTTCCCTGAATTTGTATAACAAACAAACAACAACAACAACAAAAACTCTCTTTGCACCATTCCATTGTTAACTTTTTCGGAAGCTACCAGATTAGTCTAGGATTTTTTTTTAATTTATTTATTTATGATAGTTATAGAGAGAGAGAGAGGTAGAGACACAGGCAGAGGGAGAAGCAGGCTCCATGCACCAGGAGCCCGATGTGGGATTCGATCCCGGGTCTCCAGGATCGCGCCCTGGGCCAAAGGCAGGCGCCAAACTGCTGCGCCACCCAGGGATCCCTAGTCTAGGATTTTGATTAAATTCAAAATTCAAAGGATTTTGAATTTCCTTTGCTAACCTGACTTGAGTATGAAGCTCAAAACATGGAAAATTTTGAGTGTGAAAATCAGGTAAAGAAAGCCACGCTTTCCTCCAAGATACACAAAGTTTCCTTTTTTTCAAGTGTGCATTCCTGTTTACTGAGGAGTCTGTCCTGAGGTGGTGCCCAGAGCTATCTCCTGGGTCTTGGCCTTGAGTTGCACTCTCAGGAGGATACCTCACTCTTCAGAGAACCTCCCTGTCTTCCCTCCAGGTCTGTCCCCCCTCCTCCCTCCTTGTGTGGAAAACTTGGAAACCCTGTGAGGAGGATGCACTTAGGAAATGAATTGGAAAAAAGAGAGATGTGAGATTTAATGTTAATAAGTCAAATTGAAAGCTTTATGGATCACATTGTCTGGGGAATCTCATTATTTTATAATTTTTTTTTTCATGTTGATGAAGTATGCGGTTAGTCACAGCAGATAGTTCTGCGGAAAGTGTTAAGGAAAAAAAAATCCTCCCAGGGTGGCTTCTAGGAGCTGGATGTGGATATTTGTGAAGCGTAAAAACATTTTTTCTACCTCTCAAATAATGGATTAGATGCTGTATGAATGATCATATTTATTTGATTATATCTTTTAAATTCTAAATGAAACTTTTTTTTTTCACCCCATGAAATAGCCACTGTGGCAACTTGCTAGAGCAGTAGACACTTGGCTCCCTGAGTTCCTTCTGAACATACTGAGGATTTATGGTTTGGCAAAAGCACTCTGTTACTTCTAGTAGCAATAAGCGCTTTTCTACAATTCTTTGGAAATGTCATAATGTGTCGATCGCTCCCACTGGGTACAGAGAAGCAATAGCTCAGCAAGGCATCCTCATCCCAGTGTCTTGGAGGCCTCAGGAAGGCCTGTATGATGCAAAGGCAACTCCCAAGCAGCCTCCTTTGCTCCATTTTGAGCAGGAAGATCCTTGTCTTTTACCCTTAAGTAGATCATTCATTTAGTGATACGTGCACCCAAATCTCCCACTTGTCTGCTGTGTATCAGACACTGATAACCACTGTGTCTTGGTGAGGTTGCTATGAAATTGGGACTGGCGGTGCCTGGATGGGCTCAGTTGGTTGAGTGTCAGGCTTTTGATTTCAACTCTGGTCATGATCTCTGGGTCATGAGATGGAGCCCTGTGTCGGGATCATGCTGGATATGGAGCCTCCTGAAGACTCCCTTTCTCCCTCTTCCTCTGCCCCTCTTCCCCTGAAGAAAAAAAAAAAGGAGAAGAAGAAAAGAAATTGGGTTCTGGAAGCATCAAGAGGATGTGACTATTTTTTTCCTATTTAGCATCTGGGGTGTGTGTGTGTGTGTGTGTGTGTGTGTGTGTGTGTGTACGCACATGTGCTCACGTGTGGTACATCAAAGGGAAGTGTCCTGAAAGAGGTGATATCTGAGCTGATTTCTTGTAGACAAAGGGATTAACTGGAAAAGAAGGGAACAGAAGGAAGAGCGTCAAGGAGATTTGGGGAGGAGAGTGCAGTGTGAGGTTGAAGATGGTGAATAATTTGTTGGGACTGAGGCAGAGGGGTTTGAAGTAGACTGGTACATCACAGGCCAGAGGGGCAGACAGGATGTTCTTGCTTGACATCTGAGGAGGAGTCTGGACTCTTTCCTCAGGATGCTGGGAGCTCTTAAAGGTGTATGCAGGGCAATGACACATCCTGACTTGGAGTTCAGAAAAGTCCCTCTGGCCTGTGGAGAGGAAAGGGAATTAGAAGTGGGGCAAGACCATGCCATTGACTTGCCTACTAGTGCAATTCGGGGGTATAAAAAGGGATCTCTGTCACCCAGTCGTTAACTTGGTCTGTTTCTTGATACCCGAAATTCCTCAGGCTTCTACATTCTCTTTGTGTTATATTTTAAGTTCAAGAATGGAGAACTTGCTGGGAAAGGTGAATGGTGTTTTTGGCCACATGTTGGTTTGCTATTCCTGAAACCCCTTAATTACCTTTGGATAATTATCCCTCCCCATTTGAATGTTATCTTTTTTTTTTTTTTTAAAGATTTTATTTATTTATTCATGATAGTCACAGAGAGAGAGAGAGAGGCAGAGACACAGGCAGAGGGAGAAGCAGGCTCCATGCAGGGAGCCCGACGTGGGATTTGATCCCGGGTCTCCAGGATCGTGCCCCGGGCCAAAGGCAGGCACTAAACCGCTGCGCCACCCAGGGATCCCTTGAATGTTATCTTGATGGGACAGCAAACACTAAGGATGTGCCCGTAGGTTCCTTCTGCCAGCTGCTTCTGGTCCCTGCCCTGGTAAGAGCGATTGGTGGGCAGGTGGTGTAGGCTCAGCCTATCACATACTCTGTCCATTGAGTGACTCAAGGTTGGAAGAGGCCTGGAGTTGCTCCTTGCCCAGACCTCTTCTGTGAGTAGTTTCTCTTTGATCCTGAGAGCTGCAAGTTGCCTTCTGACAAAAATTGTATTTGTTTAGTTAGCCAGCACCAGCATCTCTTGCTTGTATCCCAAGAACCCCCCAAGATGTGGGAATATCCAAAGGCCTTATCTCACAGCAGAGCATAAAGACTAATCTTGTAGCCTTTCCGCTGGTTTTCAAAGGGGTGTGTGTGTGTGTGTGTGTGTGTGTGTGTGTGGTGGGGGGTGGTGGTGAATGCAAGGATGTCATTTGCTAAAATGGAGCAAAGAATGGACTGAAAGGGACACAGTTCACTAAGGACCTGCAGATGAGCTTGGCTGGCTCCCCCTGTGTTGCTGCCTGTGGTACCTCTGAGGTGTGTCTACCTGGTGAGGTCAATGCATACTTCTGTAGCACTTGTATTGTGTGCTGGGCACTGTTCTAAATGTGGCCTGCATGGTAGCTCATTGCATTCTCACAACAATCTGAGATAAGTATTATCATTTTATCTTAAATTATATATTTGTTCTATCTATACCATATCTATCTTCCTCCCTCCCTCCCTATCTACCTATCTTTTTATCAGCAGATGAGAAAACATCTGAGAGATTTTAATAATTTACCCAAGTCATACAACTAGAAGATAGCAGAACTGAGATTTGAATCCTGGCCGGCCAGGTACAGAATCTGCTCTTATCCAAGAATTTGAACCTTGGCTCCACCACTTACTGTGAGAAAGCTATTTAATGTCTCTGGCCTCAGTTGCTTGATCTGCCGAGTGGAGATAGTAATAGCATCTGCCTTAAGGTAGATAAAATAAGGTGTTTAAAGCAGTGCCTGGTACAAAGTAAGCACTATAGGAGGCTTGCTAGAGATTATTTTGTAATGGATGCTATAAAGAAGGCTGACTGTACATCTTTCTAGAGGTAAGCATAGAAATAATTGTGACTCTTCTATTGGTCACTTGTATCTACAAGGCCTTTCTAGATATTTTGAAGCTCTTCATGGCAAGAACATAAGTTGATGACAATTCATATGTATCATCCCACACTCATTTAGGGAGCTAGGACAGAAGTAAAAGTTGTTTTAAGGACACGAGCCTAGTGTGTAAAAACAGACAGCAAAGCAGCACCATGAAGAGCAGAATGTGAGCAGCTTCCCCAACATGAGCCTCACCCAGAAAGCTGAGCTTGGGCTCTGAGCTTGCTGTTTCCCCTGCGTGCTAAGCCATTCTGAACCTCATAAATACCTGCCTCTCTGGGTTGATCTGTGAATTAACAAAGTTCATCCAGCCATTCATTATTTTTTGCTGGGCATTAAGGATATAAAGATTAAGAAAACATAGGCCCTGCCTTTGTGGG